TTGGGGGAAAGGGGTCCTTTGGGAAGGGGAGTGGGAGAGTTTGTGAGAGGCTCCAGCTACCTGTCCTGTCTCCACGGTCTGGAAAAGTCTAACAGCCCAGATTCCCTCCCCTCACATTTTTAACCCCGAGGCCCCCAGGGCAGTGCTCTCTGTAACTTGGTTGGCGGAGGCGGGGGTGGGGGGGCAGCAGAGCCTTCCAACTCAGCCCCGTCTAGTACTCATTGAGCAGCCACAGCCTGGCCCATTCCCCGGAGGCAGGGTCAGCCGTGGTTAATGAGGAACAGAATGACCAGGGGGATCCCACGCTATCCCTGGGAGGACACTGAAATTTTAAGTAAGTAGTGAGTCAGCGGGAACTCTGCCTCCAGGAGAATCCAAGGCTCGGAAGGCTGCTCCCCTTTGCCGGGAGGCAGGGTGGGTGGAACGGTGTTCCCAGGGACAGCAATACCGAGGGAGCATTTGTGCTTTCAAAGCACTTTTGAGCGTGTATTCCTCCACACCCCTGCGACTCGGGCAGGGCTGGTGTGCTTAACAGATGAGAAAATAGGCCGATGAGGCCGAGATGGGGAGGCGCTGGTGTTGTGAGGGCCCTGCTCTTTGCCAGGCACTGTGCTAAGCCCTCGAGGTAGATCATCTCACTTACTAACCCAATCTCCCTGCAACCGAGCAGACTGGGGCCCGTCCACATGGCGCCCTGGCGAGTGACCCAACAATTAATGCTGGAAGGAACAGGTCTTTATTTACAATATTCCAGCCTTGGAGGGGCTCACAGCACTTCAGGTTGGAGTCCTCTTCTCCCATGAGACCCAGCACTGCCCTTGCTCCCCAAAAGGCTATAAGCCAAAAGCCCCAAAAGTTCCCCATCTCCTTGTCTGAATTTAAGCCAGCTGCACAAACAGTCTCGCAGCAGCTCTCGCTCTCCTTCAGGATCTGGGGTACACTGTCGTCAGCCTCCATGTAATAGTCTAGGAAAGCCTGTGCCGTGGTGCGCAGGATCACGGGGAAGTTCAGGAAAGATGGTCCGTATTTGGCTCTGTATAGTCTGCTCCCGTGTATAATGTGCACCACGTTTCAGTGCGCATTATACTCGGACTTATTATGCCCGTAGTATGTAATCATTATACCCATGTATAATGCCCATCCTTATTTTCCCCTCAAAAATTGGGGCAAAAAAGTATGCATTATACGCAGCAAAATACGGTAAGCCCCAAGAGTACAGAGTCCGGGTTTGTAAGGCTGCAGGTCAGCGTCTTGCAAGAGAGAGTCTTCGGAGTCAGCCAGAGGGGGCACGATCAGAGCGGCAACGCGCCTCCCCCCTCACTACACCAGGCTGCGTGGCCGGGTCCTGGCCACCAGCTACGTGGTTGCTTGCTCACTTCCCCCTGTCACGTGGCTGCTCCATCACTGCTCCCTCATGGCTCTTCTACTCCCTCCCAGGCGGCCCGGCCTAGTCTCCCTTCCCTGCCGGCAGCGCCATGGCTCCTCCTCCTCACTCCTCACTCCGGGCAACACGGCTCCTCTCTTCACGGCTGCCTGCCCTTGCTTTAAATCCTGACCTGGAACCTCCCGTGTGACCTCATCTCCAACTCCTCCCACAATAAGCTACAGTTGCCAGTTCTCCTGTATCGTTTACATTTATTCAGCAGCCATTCCCAGTCAGGGCAACAGGGACTCAGTGGTCCAGGGGGAACCTGCCTCCCCTGGCTACTTAAAGGATATGCCCTTAAAGGCACACCCACCTTGCCCTAGGCAGTAGCACGGCTATTAAACTAGCCTGTTATGAAAAGCATCTCAAGCCGGTATAGTCAGCTCCCCCTATCCTCCAACCAAGGACTGTGGGGGTTTTCTCCTATTTTCCCTGGGCACACCCCCTCATCCTACACCCCATTACATCCCTTTGAAGGATCGGCTGTCATTAGCTCCATCTCACATGTAAAGCAGTGGAGCCCCAGAGAAGCCATGTGACGCCCCAAGACCACTCAGCAAGGAGAGGGCCAGTCAGCTCCTACAGCCCAGGCTCCTTCCACTGTGCTTCCCTCGTGCTCCTGTCCAGGTCTTGTGTGTAACCCTACTCGTTACTACCAGTGTTACTGCGGGCTGCCTGCATCCTGCCAGAGCTCCTTGTAGGGGTGCCTGGATGGCCCTCTCCATCTGAACCGCCCACAGGAAGGTTCCTCTGCTATTCCCATCCCTTCACAGCTACGCTTATAAGAAAACTTGCTCAGGGGCAAGCATTTTGCTAAGTACTTTATATGAATTCTCTCCATCAAGCTTTACAAGGGAGGGATATAAACGAAGAGACCGAGGTTCTGAGGAGTTCTGTGATTTGTCCAAGGTCACGTCCCTAGTCGGCGCACGTGCTGGGTGCTAACCCAGTCTGTCTCCTCCAGAGGCCATCCTGTTACCCCTTGTACAGGGAGTCAGTCTAGTTGGTCTGGAGTTTTGAACCTTGCTGCCCCGGGACGAGGTGGCCCTTGCGGCCCTCCACCCTCCTGCAGGCCCAGGGAGCCCTGCGGGAGCCCCCAGGCAGAGGACTTTGTGTAGTTGTCGGGCTTGGCAGGGGCGCCACTCCCCAGTCAAGGCATCCTACCCCGAGCTGGCAAGGAGACTGACCTGCTGGACTGGGAGCTGCCAAAAGCTATTACTGTGACTTGCCAGGGCCTGCTGTGTCCAGAGGTGGCTGCCCGTAGTACAGAGGCCCTGAAGGGACTCAAACCCTCAGATTCTCTCCTAACTGGCTGCTGCCTGGTATTCTAATATTAATACTCCTTTATCTTAAAGCTCTGATCCAGCCCTGGCTGGCATAGCTCAGTGAATTGAGCTATGGGCCTGTGAACCAAGGGGTTGCCAGTTCAATTCCCAGTCTAGGGCACATGCCTGGGTTGCAGGCCAGGTCCCCAGTGGTGGGGGCGTGTGAAAAGCAACCCCACATTGATGTTTCTCTCTCTCTCTTTCTCTTTCCTTTCCCCTCTCTCTGAAAATAAATAAATAAAATCTTTAAAAACAACAACAACTCTGATCCACATTCATCAGCCAGTCCCGTGGCTTGTCCTTGGACCACCGTGGCAAAACTTTCCACTGGTGGTTCTCTGATGTCGTAACCAGGGCTGACCTGTTTCTGCAATTATCTAATGAGCTGCTCCTTGTCTTGGGCAAGAAAAGCTGGCTAGCTGCCCCCCTGCTTTTTCGTCACCCTCCCCCCTTCCAGTCTGACTTCCTTCACTTTCTCCCGTCCTTTCTCCCCTCCTCAGGCAGAAATACACGCTTTTGAATTCACCTATCTGTGAGGCCCGACCATGTCTGCGCACTGAATTCTGCCCCCAATGGGGAGGGCCCTCCCTCCCCACCAGCCCATTGGGTTCCTGCTGACACGGCCATCCGTGTACAGGGCGGAGTCACATCTGGGCAGCAACTCAGGTCATTTACATCCTGGCACTGCCAAGTAGAACCTGCAGAGGTGCCTTTACCTGGTGACAAATACCTGCTGCTTGGCACCCCTAGGGTTTGACCCAAAACAGGTGGTTTTCAGGATGCAAATTCAAGATCAGGGAATGGGCTCAGGCTAAACAAGACGCTCCCATCAGTACTGTGGGCCTGTGCCAGGGCGGGGGGGGGGCGGAGCCCTCCGTGTTCTCTTTGTTGTTCAACAACAATCTCATTTGCTTATTTGCTCTAGTAGCTAAGGTCTCGGCAGGAAGGTGACAGGGCAAGTGTGGGAAAGACCCATTGTTACCTCCCAAGGCTTCTGCCAGGGAGAAAAAGAGGCGCAATGTAAGGCTTACACTGTAAGACAATGCTTCTTAGACTTTGATGTGGACAGTATTGAAATGCAGATTATGGTTCAATAGGTCTGGGGTGGAGCTGAGATTCTGCATTTGTAACAAACTCCCAGAATATATTGCAACTGCAGAGTGTGAACGGCAATGATTTTAAAGGGTTAGCACGTCCCCAAAAGTCCCTTGAGACCTAAAAATTCATTTATCCTGGAGGAATAGAGTGTCTCCTTTCACAAGTAAGAAGTAGCATTTCAAGGTCAGATGACTTGTGGTAGGAAAACCAATGTTTGGTTTGTCTCCAAGATCGTCCTGGGAAAGACCCAGGAGATGAATGTCTGACTTTGGGGTGGGGTCTTCCAGATCTGGAGAGGTTTACTGTAAAGGAAGGTAAGGGCTGAAAACAGCCTCAGAAACATCCCTGTTCAATGACAACATGCTGCGCACCGCTCACTGCTGTGTCTGCAGTCTGCACGGGTCATCACGTCCATCGATACGAAGACCCCGTGGGCACTGAGGCTCCCCGGTGTGCCATGAGGAAACGGGCTCAGAAATGTGAGCTGGCTTGCCCACCGTCACAGCGAATCAATGACAGGGCTGGCTTTGGAGCCCAGCCCTCTTATTCTTAACCACTAGGCTCTGCTGCATTGAGAAAAGATGCATTTGCCACACATAATTGATTGGGGGAGAAGCAGATGTCTTATTTGAGACTTTTTAGGTTTCAAGTGATGGAGAAACAACTCAAACTGATTTCATCATAAAGCAAAATTTATTGATTTGTATGACTAAAAAGTCCAGAGGTAATGGCTTCGGGCATAGCTGGATCCACTTTCCTTTATGTTGGCATCTTAGACAGACCCTGCTTTGAGGTAACTAGAGAACCAACAGCACATTTAGTCCTGTTCCCATTGGTCCCAACAGATCCTACCTCTGTCTCCCATTGGACCAAATGGAGTCGTGTTCAATCCTGAACTAATCACCGTTGCCTGTTGGGGACTGGGGTTGGGGGGACTAGTCTTGAGCCTGGGCTGTATGCTCCCCTAGAGCTGGGGGTGGGTTCATCTCCACCCAAGCCTTAAGGACTGGGATTAGTAAAGGGTTGGTTCCCAGGGAAAGGGGGGTGTTACTATCAGAAACTGTAAGACATTCCCCAGCTCTTACAGGGCAGGGGTTGGTGGGAGGGTCCAGGGAAGCTTGGTGTGACCGTCAGTCTCTTTGTGTCGCCAGGTCAGCTCCAACCATGGCACTGGGGCTCTTCCGGGTGTGTCTCGTGGTGGTGACAGCCATCATCAACCACCCGCTGCTGTTCCCACGGGAGAATGCCACGGTCCCCGAGAATGAGGAGGAGATCATCCTCAAGATGCAGGAGCACGAGCAGAAGCTGCAGCTGGAACAGCTGCGCCTGGAGGAGGAACTGCGGCTGGCGGTGGAGATGGAGGCCCCAGAGCAGGTGGCAGAGGAGGGCCAGCAGCAGATGGAGAGCCACACAGCCTGGGACCTGTGGAGCACGCTCTGCATGATCCTCTTCCTAGTGATCGAGTTGTGGCGGCAGGACCACCAGGATGGGCTATCGCCTGAGTGCCTGGGCGGGGATGAGGATGAGCTGCCTGGCCTGGAGGGTGCCCCGCTCCGAGGCCTCACCCTGCCCAACAAGGCCACACTGGACCACTTTTATGAGCGCTGCATCCGGGGGGCCACAGCTGACTCGGCCCGCACCCGGGAGTTCGTGGAAGGCTTTGTGGACGACTTGCTAGAAGCCCTGAGGAGCCTGTGCAACCGGGACAGGGACATGGAGGTGGAGGACTTCATTGGCGTGGACAGCATGTACGAGAACTGGCAGGTGGACAAGCCGCTGCTGTGCCAACTCTTTGTGCCCTTCACCCCCCCTGAGCCCTACCACTTCCGCCCAGAGCTCTGGTGCTCCAGCCGCTCGGTGCCGTTAAACCGCCGGGGGTACGGCCAGATCAAGGTGGCCCGGGCTGACATGGATACACTGGGCTGTATCTGTGGCAAGACCAAGCTCGGGGAAGACATGCTGTGTCTCCTTCATGGCAAGAACAACTTGGTGAGGCCCAACAGCGAGGTGGAAGACCTACTGTGTGCCAGAGGTTCCCCGTACCTGGACACGATGCAGGTCATGAAGTGGTTCCAGGTGGCCCTCACCAGAGCCTGGCACCGCATCGCCCACAAGTACGAGTTCGACCTGGCCTTTGGCCAGCTGGACACCCCGGGGTCCCTCAAGATCAAGTTCCGCTCTGGGAAGTTCATGCCCTTCAACTTGATTCCTGTGATCCAGTGTGATGACTCAGACCTCTACTTTGTCTCCCACCTCCCCAGGGAGCCCTCCGGGGAGACCCCGGCATCCAGCACTGACTGGATTCTGTCCTTTGCTGTCTATGAGCGACACTTCCTCAGGGCGACAACGAAGACACTGCCCGAGGGCGCCTGCCACCTCAGCTGCCTGCAGATTGCCTCCTTCCTGCTCTCCAAGCAGAGCCGCCTGACCGGCCCCAGCGGGCTGGGCGCCTACCACCTGAAGACAGCGCTGCTGCACCTCCTGCTCTCCCGGGGGGCCACCGACTGGAAGGCCGGGCAGCTGGAAGCTCGTCTGCACGAGCTGCTCTGCTTCCTGGAGAAGAGCCTGCTGGAAAAGAAGCTCCATCACTTCTTCATCGGCAACCGCAAGGTGCCGGAGACCATGGGACTCCCCGAAGCTGTGCGCAGGGCGGAGCCTCTCAACCTCTTCCGGCCGTTCGTCCTACAGCGAAGCCTCTACCTGAAGACAGTGGACTCCTTCTATGAGATGCTCAAGAACGCCCCGGCGCTCATTAGCGAGTACTCTCTACATGTCCCCTTAGACCACGCCAGCCTGCCCCAAAAACCTGTCGTCCTGTAGAGCGGCCGGAATCTCGAGGGCCAAGATGCAGGGCATCCCACGTGCCCACCCCACCCCCACAAGAACATCTCAGGCCCTGTCCTGAGGAAACGGCAGGCTTTGTTGGGAGCCGTGGCTAGCCTGCCAGAAGCCGGGCCCTGTAAAGTGGAGGAAACAGAATTCCAAGCCGGAAGGCAGTTTGCTTTCGCACAGTGGGGCCGGCCAGTGAAGCTATTATCTGGGTCTGGGGCCTGAGCCTTTGCGGCCTTTACTTTTGGATCATCACGAATGGCCAAGATGATGACGGAACACTCTCTGAACACTGAATTTGAATTAATGCAACATCACTTAGGTATAATTCTTTTTATACCGCACGTCCAGTGTTTACTTGAATATCGGCAGAGAGCTGAAGGGATGCTGACAGGGATCCGTGATAAGACTGCACACCCCTATTTCCAGGAACCCTTGGCCCCCGGCGTCTGCCACCAAAGCGCTAATAGGGACAGATGGTGGAATTCACAACCGTCCATTCACAGCCTGCACAGTAGGGGTCCCACTGTGGCTGATGCGTTTTTTGTACTATTTGGAGACAAGACCTAATAGAGAGTCGAGGCCCCAAGTGGCTAATGTCTCTGTTGCACAGAAGTGGGTACTTGGTGGCAGAGAGAAGTTTAAGTTGACCACTTTTCCAGCTACACACCTCATTCAGGGTACACCTCCTTCTCCCTGCCCCTTTCCCCAGCTTGGTGCTGTGTCCCTAGCACCATGGATGCCACATACCATGCTGGGTACAAATTCAGTTGTCCCTCACCCCTCCTTCTTCTCTCCACAGCTGGTGGGGGAGGGCAGAGGCCGAAGGTGAAAGCCAATAGAAAAGGAGAGGCACTGGGTGACTGGGGTGAAGGGCAGCCTAGCACCTGGGGTCCAGGGGAAGTTGCAAAGCTGAGAGGTGAGGAATGCTATTGCCCTGAGTGCTCTTCAGGGCCCCGGCCCTAGAGCAGGGCATCCTTGGAAGCAAGAGCAACTGCGGAAACCCAGCTCCTGCCTACAAGCCCAAGACCCCCCAGCTATTCACTCCAGCAGTTTCCTCACTACACAGAACGCCTGTTCTGGGTGGGTCTTGCTGGCCGCACAGATGACCGAAACCCCAAGAGCCCAACAGCTCGGCTAACTAGGAACACACAGGGACAGCATTGTGGGCACAGCTCCCAGGCCTCAGAGAGGCCACCTCGCTGCCGCCGGGGCTGCGGTCACTTGGCAGGCACCAGAGCCTGTGGTTGGAGCTGGCCCCTGTCTCCAGACCTGGTTCGGAAGGGTTGGGAAGCGCTCCTCCTCCACTGTGGCTTCACTGGTCCTTCGGGATTTCCCATCTCGGCATTGCCTCAGTAACCCTTGCAGAGGGCCGAAGAGGAGGCAAGAATGAGTGTGCCTTCCGCAGCACCTGGGTCCTCCCTCCAGCGTGAGAGCGGGTGGAGCCTCCCAGACGGCACACCCCGTTCCACAGTCTGTTAGACTCACTGCCACCTGAAGAAAGGATATTGTCCCTGCCCCAGGAGTGCTCTCACCCGGCCTCAGAGTGCCCTCGAGATGGACAGTTTGCCCAACGGGGTTAATTCAGGGCGGGGGGCTCAGCCGCAGTGGGGAGCTGAAGCCTGCAGGAAGCCTTCCATGTGAGCCGGAGTTAGATGGAGCAGTGTTGGGGTCTGCCGCTCCCCAGGCCCACAGTGGCTGGCCTTCCAGGGACCAGTCCTGCCCACGTGGTCTCCAACAATAGCCTCGAGCCCCTTATTCTGCTGGGCTTTGTTTCCAGAGTCGGGGTGAATTTCCTTATTTATTATCCCCTGTGCCTTTCCTTTCCCGTCTTCCTCTTTATCTTGTGCTTGGAAGAGACCCCGGCAACCAAGAACCAGCCTGCAGAGGCCAAGACCAAGCCTGACTCTCCCTCAGCTTCCCCTTTGCTTCCAGGAGAAAGTCCACGGAAAAAAATCACCTTGTTTGTACAGAGAGGACAGAACTCAGCGGGGAAACGGGGATCTTTTATGCACCGAAGCGGCTTCTGAAGCAGAAAGCAGCAAGGCTCTTGGTGTTCATGCTGCCTTATTTATATTAAAGGAAGAATTAAATTCCTGCAAAGAGAATTAAATTCCTGCAAAAACTGGTCACAGTGTTTGTTTTTAATCGCTGAGGTTCCGAGGGCAGAGTTGGGAAGGGGGGTGGACTTCCTATTGACAAGCAGACGCTTTCACCCCTTTTTATCTTATGCTTTCAGGAAACGTTTTTTTTAATTAGCAAAATAGAACATCTCTAGCCCATCTTTGAGGAAGCCTGCAGCGTTCCAGAAAGGGCCTCGGAAGGGCGCTGCAGGGTGGGGTCCAGCCCGAGACCTTACTTGATGGAGCTGGACGTGTGCAAAGAGACGCGGGAGCTGGAAGTGTCAGGACGCTCCCGGTTTTCAAGGAGAGAGGTTTTCTTAGGTGGAAGAGTTTGGGCCCTTTGGGACACGTAGGCCTGTCCACTAAGGACAGTCCCGCCGTTCTCTTTTTCCCTTCTCCAGGATGCTTGGCTTTACTCGGCATCTGCTCACTTGCTGTGCAGGACGCTCCCGGGATGCACTTTGCTGAGCCTCCTCACAAGGCTGAAACGAGTAGGGTTCGCCCAAGGCCCGGAGGTTCGTTAGGTTGGGGCAGGCCCTGGCTGGCGTAGCTCAGTGGATTGAGTGCGGGCTGCAAACCAAAGTGTCACAGGTTCGATTCCCAGTCAGGGCACATGCCTGGGTTGCAGACCATGACCCCCAGCAACCGCACATTGATGTTTCTCTCTCTCTCTCCCCCCCCCTCTCTAAAAATTAATAAATAAAATGTTTAAAAAAAAAAGAACCTGGGACCAGCACTTTGGTTCATAATTAAGTTGTCATCAGGAACACCTGGAGAGTTCAGTCCAATGCCCACACCCCACCTTGAACCTACATGGTGCCCAGGTCAGGCTTTATTTCTAAAGCTCCCGCTAGTAACTGATGACACCCCTAGTTGAGGACGGCTTTTTATGTCCTTTCCAGATAGAACGTGGAAGAAAACTCAAGGTCTGCTTCCCCACAGAGCTATTGGAAGACAGATCTGGGAGAAGCCAATGAGCCTACTTGGGGTCTATCACCCATGTGGCATCAGCCACAGCACAACTTCCCACGAGTACCCCCACACTCACACCACTGATAGGAGGAGCAGAGAGGATGCGGGAGGGGAAAGCTGGTGGGCACGTCTTTCTAGCAGGTCATTAATAGTCTGCAATTGCTTATTGGGAGCCTAATATGCATGAGGCATTGGGGGAGATAGGAAAGTAACTAGGAACAAGCCTGGGCCCTGGGAAGGGCACTAAAGCGGCCTCCCAAATGCTCACCTGAGAAAAGTGCTGCAGGAAGGACGGACGTGTGCTGCTGGTGGGGTCAGAGGGGAAGCCCAGCCAGGGCTGCCTCTCCAGTGTGGCCTCGACTAACCACTGGTTATCACCTGGTGCGGGCTGTCACTTGGAGCCATGCCGCAGACGTCAGTGGGAGGCAGGAGCCGGGCTCAAGAATCTGCACCTTGCCAAGTTCCCCCAGTGATTCTGAAAGTTCAAGAACCACTGATGACCTGGAGGGATTAGGGCAGGCCTCAAGGAAGGGTGCTGCCCGATACAGCTTCCGAAAGACGGGCAGCACTGGTCAGGAAAAGCATTCCAGCCATAACTGTGGAGTGAGGGTGGGAAAGTGTAAATGATTTAGGCAGCACTGAAGTAGCATCTACTGTGTGCCAGGCACACTTCTACATGCCTTTTCAAAACGTCATTTAATTCTTATGTCAACCCTGTGATGTGAGGGCTGTTATCTTCCAGATGAGGAAACGGAGGCACCGAAGGGGGAAGTGGCTTGTCCAGAGTCACGCGGTGGCGAGTAACAAAGCCAGGCTTCAGACCCAGGCAGTGCTGAAGTGTGTGCTGCTATGTGCTGAGAAATCACAGCAAATCAGTTTGAAAAATGTTGTTGGGGCTGCCCACGGCCTTGCACACTACGGTAAATTTGAACCTGATACATTAAGTTATTTCATAATAAAATGCAGACTTAGTGCAATGGTGAACTAGCTCTTGGTGATCTTTGAGTGAGAGAGCAACTCGATTTGCCCCAAACTAGGAAGCCCTGAACTGTGTGCTCGGCCCTGTTGAGTGCCGTGGGGGTCCATGGCCGGCTTCTCCAGGGGCTGGTGGCAGCTGTGGCAGCAGTCAGTGAATGTCCCAGAAGTCCCAACTGATGTCACTCTGCAGGCTGTGACTGAGAACATCCTCATGCCCCATCCTGTCTGCACCTCATGGGAGGGAGCTGGAAGGCTGTTTGGTTTGGCCAGCGGACCTCCAGCAGAGACAGCCAAGAACCACCCAGTGAAGGGAGTGTGCGCCTTTGACTCCTTGAACTTGCCTCACCCCCACCCTCTCCACCCTCTGCCTTGACCCGCTCTACCACTCGGGAGGGGCATCTTTTAGAGGTAATTTTTCTCATTGCTGTCCAAAGATAGCTTGTTTTCCTAACTAGTTTTTTTTAATAAAAACAATACAGTCATGATAAAAAAAAATGTTGACCAGGGGCAGAAAAATTAAGTAACAGGTAAAAGCTCCCACTCCTGACTTCTCAGTCCATTTCCCAGCAATCACCAGTGAGAAGTTTCTTGTCTGTTTTCCCTAAATTTTTCTGTGATGTGTCGCATGTGTGGATACATCGTTTTTGTTCTTGTTTCTGTAAATTGCATCGCACTATCTAACTTCCTTTGGACGTCTTTTTTGAACACTTGGTTGTACCATATTCTTTCAAACAGCTGCTTACTATCTCTCTGTATGTACGGATGGCTGTCCCCTAGTTCACCCAGCCTCGCCTACTGAGGAACACTTAAACGTCCCACCCACTCCCACATTTTTTTTTGCTATTGTAATCAACACTGCAGTGAACATTGTGCATCGAAGCCTGTTCAGAGTGATTGATCTTCCCTCTCCTGATAATCGGTACACACTGTATCGACAGCACACTGTCCACCGATTCACGCCCAAGCACCTGCCCATAAAAATAAACTTGCATGGGATTTAGTCAGTGCTCATGACGCCAGAGTGGGGAAAAGCCTGTATTTAACCAAATGCGGCTTGCGTCCCACCCCAGGCCAGGCCCTGTGTGAACAACAGGAGTGTGAGACAAGGGCTGTGTCCCCGGGCATCTGGGTCTGTGTTAGCAAGGGCAGACCAGTGGCCACAATAACATAAGCCCGAGAACAGTGAAGGGCGGTGGTGACCGAAGGTGAAATGGGGTGGCTCTGGTCCCCGCGTGGCACGAGGAGAGCAGAAGCCATGTCCGCTGTGGGTTTCAGTTTTAACAGTGTCAGCTCCCTTATATGTAGGAAAATGCGAAGAACCTCCCCAAAGAAAATCCACTCGAGCGAGTTATCCTTCTGTCCCCAGATGCTATGTCCCGTTCATCTGAGCCCAGGACCAGTGTGTTGCCTCCTGCACCGTGTGGGGTCCTTGCCTGTAGGTGAAATGCATTTTCCCATTGCTGATGTTCCTCCAAGCCCCACAGAGGACCCAGGAAATAAAACTGTCAACAAGTTATCTCCTAAGAAGGTGCAACCGCATAAACCTCAAAAACGTTCAAAGATGAGTATTTCTACTTTTCTTGACAAGAAAACAGGTCTTGAAAGTAGAAGGTGAGATTCGCTGGGCAGGGGTGGGTAGGATCCCATTGGCTTCTTTAAAACCCACCAATCATTGATACGTTAGGTTTCTCTTTGGGTAACTATGTAATACAGAGACAGAAATTAAAGACCCACTTCCTGCCACTTCTCACAAGCCACCCTTGGGCCTGTCTTCCCAGCTGGCCAGAGATGACTCACCCAGCCCCCATGGCCTCATTGCTCACTTATGCCTGCAGAGTGAACTTAGCTATGCTAGACCCAAGGTCTCTTGAGACAGTGGTTAGACCCCGAAAGGCTGACAGCAGCCTTGGTTCTCAGCCAGAAGGCATGGTTAGTGCTGAATCAGCCCCCCAGGAATTGAACCAGCAGGTCAGCCCTGATATCTCCCGGCGAAGGACATGAGTCAGCCCATACATACTCCTACCCCAGAGAGTCAGTAGCAGAAGCTGAAGCAGAGCCAGATTCAGGGCCGTGGAGGTTGGTGGTGTTCATTCCCCCTGATACATGCAGCTTTGTCTGTAACTATTCTTAAGAAATCCTCTCCACCCATTTGTTTCCTCCTTGCAGCCTTTTATAATCCCGCTAAGCAGGGAAGCTACTGAAGCTCCACTGACCCAGAACAAGACAAGACTTCAAGCAGCAGCTTGCTCAGCCTGGGTGTTTAATGATGCAGAGGGAGAGACGAGAGTAGGTCTCTGCCCTGTCTCCATGTGCCCACTCAAAATGGGGGTCCACGGGGGAGTTTCTGCCCACTAGACTCTGCCATGACAAAACCATGCAAAGACCAGTGACACTGAGAGTCCAGAAAGTATATGGCTAGAGCGAGGGTCCCAGGTAGGACATCACTTCTCAGGAGACGTGGGTGCCTTCTGGACAGCGAAGAGGGTAAAGAGCTGTGACAGCTGCCTCACGATGAGTGGCCTGGCAGGGGTCCAGGCTTCTGGGTCATCTGTACACCCACTCATTCTGTCATTCATCCAATCATGTATCTGCTTATTCTCAAAACACTTACTGAGTGGCTGCTATGTGCTAGGTACCGTGCCAGGTGCTAGGAAAACAAAGTTCAAGGGAGACACTATTCCTGCCTTGAGGGAGCTCCGAGTCATGAATTGCCAAGGACCACTTAGCTTAGGATGGAATTTTAAAAATACCTCCTGCTCTTACCATTTACAGAGTTCCCCATTATGCCTCCTGGTACCTTCTCCGTATGGCAGAAATGCACAGAAATACACATACACACACACACCTTTCGAGTGTTTTTCTAAACCCCTGAGCATAACCCATATTCCAGGTTTTGCAAAGGCTGCTCCTGCTAAGAGACACCCACCCACCTCTCTTCCCAGCCCCCCAGTCCAGTGCTGCTGGAAGAGGCTCCCCCAGAGGGGGCGGGGGGCACCGTCAGAACCTGCCTCAGTTGCTTAGTCCTCCTCTGCCTGACAAACCCACAGATGGCTTGTC